TTCCATGATGCATTTTAAGGAAAAAGGACTGTGCTGTTTTTTCTTTCTTTCTGTTCCCCCATAAACAGTATTTATGTGCTTATTATTGAAAGGCTTTTAGAGAGGTGTTGACAATAATTGTACCTCCACTAAAAACTCAAACGTAATTTTCTATATTCCTGACAGTATTGTCAGAGTGCAGCTGATAAATGGTAAGCTGATGTAAGTGTTACGTGTCTTCATGTCCTTGTATTTACTAGTTCTTGCAGTGTTGTGACTTGAACGACACGTGCCACCTTGAAGTGCTCCTCTACAGACTGAAGCACTATTGAAAATGTACTTGTGGCACGAGTGTCTACTGACTCTACAGTCGTATTGTCATACGCCCTAATACTCACATGCAGGCTTAGGCAATTGACCTTTTTTAACTCCTGTTGACCTTGTTCCAACAACGTACTGTGGCTGATCATCGCTTCATTATTTCACCACGCTGGATTAAATATATAAACGGTGTCACTGTTATGGCAAACATTACCTTTTTGGTTTTCCTTTAAACAGATGTTCAGAAATGCTCATATGCCTTTGTTGGTGTGCACCTTCCTCTTTACCCTCAGCTGATCAGAATGCCGTGCAGCTTCACATAGACTGATGTGTCTTTTTTTCGTCCTTTTATATGAAACTCAGCTTCTGTTTCTTTTTCTTTCTACATCTCTTACAAATGAGGGTGAATAAACATTAGCAATTTTAATTTTTTTTTTTTAAATCCAGTGTAGTTCTGATGCGTTTTTCTGCACATTCATGCAAAACATTGGTTGGTTTTGCAGTGCTGTGAATAATGATTTGATAAGTGAAAATGATGCAACTCAGTTTTTGCTTATGTATCTATTAAAACTAAGTGGCAAACAATTCATTTAGAAGTCATTAACTATGATCAAAAAGCATGTCCGCCGTTAAATCAGGTTCCACACCCAGAGGTTGGGCACTGAAAAGGTAACAATGTTCTTTGTTAACCAACCAGTTGAGTCTTTATTAATATTTTTCATCATATTTGATCAAAAAAATACTCCAAAATCACAAAGAAGAAGTTTGAGAAGAAGATGCCTGGGAGGAGATGAGTCTCTGAGAGGACCACGACTGGAAAAATTTGCCATGTGTTAATAAGGAAGCATCCAAAAAAGCTTAGGTAACAGCTGATTAAAACAAACTGGAGGCTCAGAGGTTTGTCTGCACGTTGTCCAACTACCCAAACGCAGCCACATTGCTGATGATGCGAAATTTCCCCCGTCAGCTTCACGTTTAAGTACTGAGGTGAGTGAAACTGATCAAAGGGAAACAGAAAGTGACATCTACCGCTGACTTGTGCCTCGCATCTACATGTGCGCTGATGTGTTTTGGATGAAGAGCTGGGCTATTAAAGCTGTATGTAAATCTTCGGGTTACAAGACTGTTGAACAACGCCTTGGATGGAGAGCCAGCGTCTTTATCATAGTCACACTTAGATTTTTTTTTTTTATGTTTCTTAGAGGAAACCTCTCCTGCCAGCCGGCATCAATGTGCAAGGAAAGACGAAACGAAGCTTGGTCTGCTTGTGAATTCTACAAATGCCAGCAGTGTTTTCCCTCTCAGCTGACTTCCTTTTCCACAGGCCTTTCTTGTTGGTCAGTGATCGTCTGTCTCACTGTAACTCTAATGCAAATAAGCATATTATGAGTCCCCTCAATTCCCTCATTTCTCCAAGTCATCTTGATTGAGTGTGGCAGGTGGAGGAGGGGATGGATATAATGGACTCCACCAACTTTAATGAGACAAATCTCAGCTATGGGCTGACATTTTGAAATTGTCCTTGTGAATGACAGTGTCAGCAGTCACCTTTACTAAAGCTTTCCAGGGACGGTGCCTGTAATGATGGAGGAATTAAAATGGCCTCCAAGGCGCTGCATGTAGGAGCCACAGGATTAGGGCGTAAAGCCACGCCTCTTAAACGGGCTCTCCTGCCACACCCCGAATAAAGCAGCCGCCTTTTCGTGGAAGTAGCTCATCCTCCACGGACTATACATCGTCACCCCGAGATGTGATGGAGGGATTATGTTAGCTGTTGACCACTGTGAGATTTGTTGAGATGAGCTGTCTCTCACATTAACTGCCCCGCCCTCGCCTTCCCCTCATTCTTCCCCTCAGTCGAGCGTCTGGTGGCTGACAGGGACAAGCTCCGCTGTCATTACAAACTTAATAAGAGCAGAAGTGAGATTGATGAGAAAAACAGAGGCATCAACTGCTCTTTTAATTAACTCTTGTCCCATAATGGTGCCAGGACAAAGACACTGAGCAAAGAATGAGACATTTTCTTTCTCCTTCTACCTCTTTCTGTTTTGTTGCCTCGCTCACCCACAATAATGAACAGCCTTCTGGGACCCAATTACATCCAAGGCTGCATTAGGAACACAGCAGGCCCAGTGGAAACTTCAGCTGAGTTTTCCCTCCCCCCACCCTGCCTCCACACGCTGTTACCCTGCTGGAGATGGCCTTCACTTGATTGAATTTTGAATGTTACACACCCCACACCTCACCCCCGTTTTCTGTAGTCCCTTACCTTCAACAGCTCTGAACCCACATGTGGTTTGTGATGGAAACAGGAGGCAATGTATGCTTGTTGTTAACCGTCCTTCACTTTAAAATGGCTTTCGCAGAGTGCCTTTGTATGCAATGCAAATGGGCAGCGGCAATTGATGCACAAAAGCCTGTTTGTGTCTAGTGTCCCTGTAAGAAACTGGGGGGAAAAAAAAGAGAGAAGAGATTTAAAATAAATGACCTGTGGTGTCTTTAAGCTACGCAACCATCGATTTGCTGTGATTTTTATTCGTTTATTTTTACAGCTATTCACGTTAGCGCCAAAGATCACGCCAAGTTAGTTGTGATTGGGGTTTTTCAGCACAAAAAAGGTTTTTTTAATCTGTTGCAAATCAATTTTTTCCACTAATTGCTATCATTATAGCAAAAATACTTACTTTTGCTATAAAATTCAGTTTAAATGATGTTTAATGTCAAGAATGTCATACGTGACATGGCCTGCTCCACAATAACAGGTGTCATTTACAACATGAAAATGGTAAACAAGCTCAGTAATGGCTGAACTCAGCCCTAGTGCAACGGTGCTAAATGCTAAGTGCCAGCGTGATGCTGGGAGGATGTTTACCAAGTTCACCATGTTATGTTTGGGTTTTGACTCTCCTAATGATAATGTGAGTAGATTAGTTTATGTTGGACAATTCAAAAATAATTTCATACTTTAACTATATATTGTTATTATATATTATTTATAGTCGCTCAAAGGGAGTTTGGATCGTCTCCAGTCCCCCCATGACACCCAGTTGTGGAAGTGGAAGAGGATGGATGGAACCCTTCACTTTATTCTTTGCCTTTTAGCTCGTTTCCAGCCAGCCAAGTAGGTGGGGCTTCTTTGCTCCCAGTTAGAGATCATCATAGAGATCCTAAAAAAAAAAAAAAGGGGGGCCAAGACTGATCTCCCTCACTATTTGAAACACTATGTTCAATATGAGCACCACTACTGTAATAGAGCTGTGCAAAACTCTCGAGTCACCTTCATTTCTTTATATTTTGCTCCAAAGGGTCCAAAGTTTTTCTTTGAACATTGGATGCTTGTTCATTCATTTTCAGACCACTCTTGTACCTGACCATTTTAGACATTTTTAAGCCACTTAACACGGACCTGTGAATCATTCAAGCATAAAAAGGGATCCAACTCGAGGGATGAACCAGTGTTGTCATTACGTGAAACTGTGCACACACAAAAAAACAATTTTAAATAGCATGTTTAGGCACTTTGATATTAGCAGTAACAAAATACATGATGAAAATCGGTGCCAATTTTGAATCAAAATTTGAAATAACAAAAAAAAAAACAGTCAGGAGATAGATACAACAGCACGTATTTGAAAAATGAAACAAACACACAAAAGGTCTTCTCTAACCAAATCAATGGACAAATGAACTCATACATGTGACCATCTTCAAGTGGCCATGAATGCACTGGCTAGATGTTTGAGTTCTTCTTTGTGTAAAAACACAATTACTATATAATTGGTCCATTTGCGGTGTTGACATTCCTGCACACAGATATTCACAGACAGGGCGACAGGACCTTTGTAGGTTATGTGCATGTTATAGTTACATTTGAAAGCCTGTAAATACAATCCTTTGGGAGATCCATGTTATTAATAACAGTTATTGGTCTTCTTTAGTTTCCTCAGACACCTTAAGCGTTGCATATTGACCGCTATGCTGGAAAGAATGTTGTCCATTGATTTGACCAAGACAAGAACTGATGATGTCCTCTTGGTGTAAAGCAGGAGTGAAACCTTCCATATTGCCAGTGAGTGAAAATCTTACCAAGGAAAAATCTATTCGAGCTCACGCTGCATCCTCAATGATGCTCTCTGACAAATCAAAGGAAAGATGGACACAATCGGTTTGGAATGAGCGGTGCAGGAATACGGTAGAAGATTCAGTTTCGGTGGGTGAAGGGTTTTGTTTTTTTTTTAAAGAGGGTGTTTTAATACTTTTATAGTAATGAAATTACCTTTAAACAGACTAACTTTTTTAAAGAGCGTTATTTATTTTTTAATTTTGGTGACGCCAACTTAAATATTACCATTGAAACAAAAATATTTGCTAACAGAAGCAAATGGTGAGAAATTTAAGTGTTGCGGCATCGAGTGATGTTTTTACTGGTCCATTGTCTTATCCCTAACCAGCACTTTGTGTATACTGTACTACCATGCTTGGTCTAGATCCCTGTGGACTGCATGGCTACTAACAGCTCATCCACTATTGCTTAGGGGTTATATTTTATTCTAGAAGAAAGACTTTATACTGTCAAACTCAGACATCCCATGTGATTGAAGGCCGATGGGCATGGAACTCTCAGAGCTGCCCTCAAAGCTGCAACAATGCCTGCTTGTGGTGGGTGGAGTGGAAGAACAAAGGCAGACTTGTTACGCTTTAGATGCCTTTATTATTCTTTTATTTGGATGCAATTTCTTGTCTATCTGGGTACACTCATTAAGATTTTGGAGTTTGGCTTGTGGGTCTATTGCTCTAGGAGAAGATGCTTTTTGTGACTCCAAACAAAAGTGCTACACTTTTATAGAAAACAGTGTAAAGAAACTTAACCATGAAATATAGATTATTATTACTTTAAGCCAATTATTTGTTCAACTTAACAACACGAAAAATGTCATTCAGGACATTCTGACTAGGAAAGGAAAGAAACACATCAAACATTATAAACATTTATATTCCACCTTTATAGTCTGGTGGTACAGAATTGTTGAACTATTTACTTTAAATAGGTAGTATATACGATTCATTAAGTCATTAAGATGTTAAAGGCCCCTCACATTGGAGTGATGCAGTCTGTCCATTTCAAGAATTGCCTTCTTAAGGGTGAAGTAACTTTAAGGACAAGCTCTTCAGCTGAACCTCCATCCAGCTGCCATGACTGCTGGCCGCTGGATGGACAAATGCTGGCAAAGGATTTCGCAGTGATGCTCCTCCTTCCTCGGCTCTCTGCTCTGCTAACCGAAAACTGCAAAAGCACAAGAAAGAGACGTACATATACAATCAGACTTCTCATTAAGGATCCAGTGTTTTCAGAGCCTGAACTGTATTTCTCCCTCAAAAATACGGAGTCCTGGCTTCTGCTGCTTCACATTTTTTTCAGTCTTACCAAAATAAACGACCCAACTGTCAGAGTACTTCTTCATTAAAAGAAGCAAAAATTCTCAAGTGTTAAATGCTCAGCTACATAAAACTTCTTTCAGCTACTTCCTTGTCACAGTAACTCACATGTTTGATTTTGTACAGATGTTTGTGCCAGGTAACCTCCCTGACACAGCTCTTCCATGGATTTTTGTCTCCTTCGGGTCTCAAACCAGAGATCTTTTGAATGTGTGAACCACTACTCTGTGGAGAGTTACTCAGGAATATAACAAGGGCTTTATTTTTTAACTTATCATTCCATGACAATGAATCATCCTGTAGTAGATACGCAAACAATCCGTGTACCCTTCTATTTGTGTTGATTCATGCTCAACCATCCAGGCAAGGAAATCCAAAGAGTTGTTCATCCAGATGTAACGTTTTCAGAAAACGCTACATCTAGATGAACAGAATCAACCCTTCTGTTTGTTTCACGCCAAATGATACTTTATATGCATTACTAAGCTCTGCCAGTCACGTCTTTTTAAGCCTGTCACTTGCACAAATCTTATTCTCAAGTGACCCAGCAGCACAGCACGTAAGCCTCCAGCAGGTGCTGTGTCACCGAGGCCTGGTCGATATACAGTAGCTGAAGGGAGAAAACATCGACTGTCAGCTGACTAAATTACAAGAGCTAACATCCGTCTGTAACAATGCCGTCCAAATCCCCAATCAGCAATCACTTGTTATGGTTCTTTTTGTGTCAAAACACTCCCTCATTACACGACTGGACAAAAAGGTTGATGGCTTTCTCATTTGTAAAACAGGTCTCTAACCAGATGGAAATTCTAACCAAATGCAAATTTGCTCTGCTTATTCTGGCCAAGTTTCGACAGCGTCCCAATCCCTCTTAAGCTTCTTGTTGACCGCGTCTGCCAACTTTGTGTACACAATTGGCTCCTCAGCTATCCCAACTGCATTGTTAATGTCTGCCCTTTTGTACTGCTCAATTCCACCAGAATAAATAGAATCGCACGTGCAAAATTATTTTCCAACACAGATAATTAGCTGAAGAAACAATCCCGACTATGAATAATAACGTGCCTCGGTAACATTATAACTTTTAAGCATGGGAAAAGGAGGAATTTGAATGCCAAGGGAAATGAGCTTATCAAATAAAGCTTGAAAATGTGCAGTGAATGAAATGAGTCAATCATTTTAATGTGAGATGGGAGCCCTGAGGAGAATAAATAAGCAATCGTCACATCACGCAGGGAGAACAAATGAGCATGGTACACAATTAGGCAGGGTCACATTCTGCTAGAGCTGTGAGCGTGGGATGGGCTAATGAGCTGTGTGAGGGAGTGTGTGTCTGTCTGTTTGTGTGAATGTGAAGAGAAAGAAGAAGCAGGAGATGAAATACTAAAAATAAATAAATAAAAATGTTGATGCACAGCGCTCAAAATTTTGATGTGCACACCAAGACAGCCAGACACAAGCGGCAAGTCAGGGGAGAGACAAAGATAAAAGTAAAAGGAGCTGGTGGAGAAACGGGTGGGCTATCAGTTGACTTGGCATCTGGGCAAAGTAGATGTGCAGGTAGACAGAGCAATGGGCAGGTACAGCAGCCAAACAGACAAAAAGAAGAGAAGTGCCTCAGAAGGACCACGGCGCGCCTTTCAAAGGCGACTCATAGTTATTAACTATTCAATCACATAAAGGAGAGCTGAAGGCGTGAAAGGTTGCGGACCGAAGCACTTTTGCTTCAGTGCATTAAGAGCCTGGTCCAGCACTCGGGCTGCGTGAAAGAGAAATAGATTGCCTCCCAGGAAGATGACTGCTCAAAGGAGCTGGATTTTTCTCCTTAATAACAGCAATCTGCTGTGAAAATCTAATCCCAAGTACCATTTACACTGAATCTAGATAACTTCTGCTCGAAAAGCGCACAATATGAATTTTTCATTCCCTGATATACAAATAAACAGAACAAGCCCCCCATCAATCAGGGGACGCTCTCAAAGTAAGTGAACTGGAATAGCAAATTGTTAATGAATACCGCGCTGCTAGAAATGCACATTTTAAAATAGCACTGCGAGTACATTGTACTGTGCTGAAATGAAAATGCAACTCTTCTAAAGAGTGTAAAACACATTTGATTGTACAGAAATGGGGGGTACGTGACCTTTCTGGTCATAAAAATGGAAAATCTTAAGTGAAATTCTTGCAGTGTTGATAACCATATACAAAAAACAAGCCAAGCGTGGATACTGTCCCTCAATTGAAGTAATAGCTCCGTCTCTGCCATTAAAGTCAGATATGGATGCACCCTTTACCCCCCCCCCCCCCCCCCCCCCCCCCTCCTCGCTGGCCTAATTCCCCCTCCTCAGTGGTGGATAAGAGGGATCAGAAATGCATCCATATGCATGGCAAACTATCTGTAGAGGGGATGTTAGGTCTCAGCCTGGCCAGCTTTCTGAAAGTACTGGTAATGACACTTAATGAAAGCTAGGGAGCTGGAGTATGAGAGGGAAAGCCTTTCACCAGCCCCCCACCCTGCATCCAGACCAAGCCTTCAGACGCCATAAATAAACAAACATGCTGCGTGAGAATAGATGTGCTATTTTCCCAGCTTCTCCCATGCCATTCCATCCCTTATTTATCTATGTATTATTATTCCCTGTATTTCTGCTTCGCTTTTAAGACCAGCTCTGTAATCCCGGCTCCCCGCAGGCATTCTGAATGGCCCGAAACATTAGCTGGACGTTGCTCCAGTAACCCCGCAGCCCCTAATGGGCTCAGTTTTGCATCTGTACTCTCCTGCTCTCCACAAATACGCACAAATGCACAGTTGTCCAACCTAAACTCAGTCAAGGTTCTGATGTGTCATACATCTCCTCACATTACTAATCACTCTACTTACTCTACCTCCTAATGGATTGGCAAAAAACCCCTTCTAGCCCTAGTTAAGCTGTCATCTTTTTAATTGTACTAGATGGCATTCAAAGTAGTGCTTGTGGCTCATGTGATACATTTGATATGGAGAAGTGGAGAAGGGATGGATAGAGAGGGCACTCTGCAGTGATGCCCGTGTAGAGGAGGGCGGTGGGGTTCAAAGTAAACACAAGGAATGAAGGGATAGAGAGGCTCTTCTTAGCACAAGCCCCTAATCAGTACAGTCAACACATGGCAGATTGGGTTCACATCTTTCTCCCCTCCCTCTGTCCTTCCATCACCAAAAACGTATCCCCGGAATCAGCCCCAATTTCCCTGCTTTCAATTTGAGAGGATGTCAGATAAGAATGTGTTGCAGGCAAATACCGGGCAACACAGACCTGGCTTACTTTGAAGCAAGGTGATATTGGTTGAGAAAAATGAAATGAGGCTTCATCTGGGAGATACCATTCCAGCACCAAATAACTATTTCCCAAGCAACACATAAAATTCATATTATATTTAGGGAATGACCCAAGTTTCCATGGTGATAGCTGAGTGACATGTTTACTTAAAGCCTCCTATGGGGTCCTGGGGAACACTAAGAGCGACCAACACTCATCTGTCTGTCTGGCAAGAGGAGAGAATGTCCTTGGGTTAGTTGTGGGGGAAAAGTTTGCCAACTCTGGAGGCTCAAACTGCATCAGGGATGTGAGACCTCTTCCGCCGCCTTTCCATGTCCTCTGATCACCACCTGTCCCTTTGCCACTCTTAACATTTCCCAGCTACAAATGTGTCTTCAGTGTTAACAAGCTTTAGCCATCAGTCAAGGCTGGGCCACACAAGTGAGGTGCACACAAAGTGGGTAGAGGGGTAGATTAGTGGAGTGGGGGGAGTGCTAAACATGGCTGTATGTAAAGGAGAGCCCCCGCTCTGAGACGGAGACAGAAATATGCTGGGGCTGCATTAGCAGCAGGACCCAGAGGCACCACCCATGGGGAAGGCAGACTTCAAACACTGTTGTGCAGGCTGTTCTGGGCTCTCGGGCTGCTGATTTCACAGCTGGGAAAAACACAGACCATTAGTCACACCAACACACTGAGGCCTATGCTAATCCCAGAACAAGAAAAAATCAACATGACAGCCAATAAAATCTGGGGAGTTATACAGCATCTTTGTTTTTCAGTTTGTGTGATGTGCTGGTGAGTGTTTCTATTGACCCACGTTTCAGATGAGCCACTCCAGGAACACTCGTGCTCCATCTGAAAGCTTGCTTCTTTGTCACTGACACCGTCTCTGGAGTCAACCGGAGCAAAAGCAGAGAGGGGCTTGTATAGATTTGCTGCCCCTCATTTTGAAGAGAAATGGGGTCTTTGCAAGGAGTATCATTTTCAGCCGGTCGTGGGCCGTCTCACATTTGAGTTTGCAATGTCTTGGTTGTCAGTTCAGAGAGAGGATGTAGAGGAAAGGAAGCACACTAACTTGTGGAGGGATATTCTGGCAGGGGTGGTGCTCGGACAACCATACCAACAACTTTTGCTCAAGTTTTTAATGGAAAACACTAAAAGGTCTTGTTTGTCGGTGAAGCAAAGCAGGTGTCAGCTCATATCATGCTGCTGAACTCTATTTACTGCAATACCTGTTATATAGAGTATCAGCTAAAGTGTAGCTCAACACCAGGCTCACCGTATGACCTCTTCTGATTTATTTCTGTTTCACATACTGAAGCTGCAATATTTTTTCCTCTGGCGTAAAAAGGCTATTTAAGGTAGTTCGATTAAGTACTTTATATGCTCGTAGTTACCGATCCTTCACAGCTTAAGCCAAATCAAAATCACCTCTTTTTCTTTACATTTATATCAAATTTAAACCCAGTAAGAATATACTGTTATGTAGATACCATATTGACCCAACTGTTTAATGCGTTATGGGGGAGGGAGTGAAAAGTGGAGCTGGCCTTCATTTCTAGAGAAAGTTCACATTTTATATAATGTCAAAAAAAGTACAATTATTCAGAAGTATTGGAATTAAAAAAAAGAACAAAAAGAAAAAAAACCCCAATGAGATTTCAAACTGGGGATTTCTTCTGTGAAGTTTGCATGGATTCTCTCTAGGGACCCAGGCTTTCTCCTACATTTCAAAGGAAGCTTAGGTTAATTGGTGATTCTAAATTGGCCATAGGTGTGAGTGTGAATGGTCATCTGTTGGCCCTGCTACAGAATGGAAACCTCAGGTTGTCCCTGACCTCTTGCCTTATGGCAACTAGGATGAGCTCCAGCCTCCTGCAACCCTGAATTTGATAAGCAGAAGGAAACAGATGGATAGATGTACCTAGATCTTCTCCTCTGCTGTCTTCTCATTGAGCGTAGCTTTGACCTCAATTTGCCGATTCCCCGCCCTCTTGCAGGTGAACCTGTAAACACAAAGAAAAAAGGTGCACTGATTTCCTGTTTCAACTGAGAATAAACTACATAAATATAACTCTCCTATCTCTACTTTCCCTCTCTTGGTGTAGACAACTGATCTTAGTTCTTTGCTCCTTTAGTTTCAGTGCCAGCTTTTCATTTGTTTGCCTGCAGCAACGTTGGGATGTGATAAAATGTGCATTAGCTATTGTTGGGATAAAAACCAATTACTACAAAAGTTCAGAAAGATCTTAAGAGTAGGAGTGTTTAATAAAGCAGACTTGTTTAAATTTCAGGACTGACTGGGTGACAGTGGAAAGCTTCTTGTGGACACGAGAACAGTCTAACGCAACACAAAACCTCTACCTTGTACTGGGACTGAGACAGAGGAAGCGAGAGATGGGGAGTAAAGGACAAAGGCAGTAGGAGGCAAGTAAAATATAAAAATCCCAAGGAGCTGTTTGAATAGCAGTGATGCTGCTCTGCAGTACCCTTGTTTTTTTTTGTTTTTTTTTCCCAGACTCAAGCCTGTGAAGTCTTATAAATAAGGCACAAAGGGGCACAAAGGAGCATTTAGAAAAACTGGTTATGATGTGGACTGAGAAGACCTACAGTGATAAGAGTGACATCAAGGGCATAGCTGAGTCTGGGAGATGCTATCATTACCTTTATTAAAATGACACACAACTCCCACACTGCCAGCAGTGCAGCAACCAGACCTGGCCTGGTAGCTGCACTGCATGTTTACAACTGCAAGACCCAAATCAATGCGAGAGAATAATGAATAAAAATTATCAACAACAAACTAGTACAGCAACAGACTTTAACTGAGTGGAAGTGTCATGTTTTTATAGCAGGATTAAAAAGAGAATGCTGGTATACAAAATAAACTAACATTAGTAGTAATTTGGTGTTGTGCACAGGGAACACAATGAAGCACGAGCATGTCTCAAGGACCATCACCTCTTTAATGCTTTTGCACCAACACACTGACATTACCATTGACACCCCTGCACACCCCTCCTTTAGCACACTGATAATAATCATTTTTAAAGTAATGTTAATACTTCTTTATTATTTTAAACTGATATATACACAGCTATTTTTTTTTTTATTTTAATCTGCAAACCCAGGGCGTGGAGCTGGACTGAGGTTTCCAAGGTTTCAGAAAGAAGGATCCTGTCCAAGTTACCGTCAATACTGGACAATCCCTCTCCACCATCTCTCTCATGTTGCACAGCACCTTAAACAAAACAACTCATTTAACCACAATGCATCACAGAACGCCACGAGAAATCACTCCTATCTGCGGCCATTGAACTTTGTAAGTCCTCCTCCTTTTCACTTGTATTAGTCGATACTCAACATAGTACTGTTTTGGCTTTGAAATGTTTGAATAGTTCTTTATTTAAGCATCTGTAAGAAAACATTTTCTTTCTTCTGTGATTAAATGAGTATTCTGATTGAATCTGATTAATGAATGTCACACATTAGTTGGCATTTTAAACTATGATCCTAGTTTTGACTTCCTTTAAAGAATTCTTTTGTTATAATATCCTTTAATAGACTTTAAGGCAAAAATCTATCCACAGCCTGTCAGTGGCCATCCTGATGTGTCACTCATTTGCCAAGCTTCAGCCTCCGCATCATCATCTCCTGCTATTCAGAGAGTCAGTGGCTGTGAGCACACCAGCGCCATCACAATGACCTTTCCACAAGCCCAGGGAGCACGCAAAGCAGAGGAGAGGCAATAAAAGTAATGAAAGAAGCAAAGGCAATTAAAGTGGTATGTGTGAGGGGAGTGTGGCGGAGATGAGCCTAACTGGAGGCAGGCCTGGAATCAACTACAGCTCTATATCCCCCGTAATCCCTATGTGATCGCAGAGCAACCCTGGTGTGCTCCCAGTCTGATCATCCTCTTGCAGCATTCACCAGCTAATCCGTGAAAAAGGACAGCCGTGCACATACACGCCACATGCACACACATATTAAAGTCACAACATGTATGAACATACCATTGACGTAATTGTTACAGTCTGACACAATATGCACTAAACAAAGTAAGGAAGCTGCTAAAAATATATTACCCAAACACACACACACACACACGTTTAGTTGTACTGTAGAAAATGAGTTGCTCTCTCTCCCGCCCTCTGCGGCACAGTGCTTCCTCACGGCCAGTGAGAATCATTAATGCCCTTCCTCTGATGCTGCCACAAAACCAACAGCAATTATTTCTAAAAGCAAAAAGTGAAAACAGCTAACACACAAATGTACACAGCACATAATCATTATTTTTTTGTTGTTGTTGTTGGGCTGGCTGTGTGGGGTTGACGAGGTGGCAGAAGCTTGGACTTAATTTTCTCTAACGGAGTTTACTGACCGCAAAATGACAAGGATGCTTTTGCTAAACTAATTAAGAGGCTGCAGAGCTGCTTTTACCATGTGACATTGACAGCACTTAAGGAAGCTGACGCCAGGCCTTCCAGATAAGCCGGAGATGTGCTCCTGGCTCAGGACTCGGCGCATACATAAACACACACACGCACACACACACACACACACACACACGTGGAGGAAATAAAATACATGCGTCTAAAATCATGCATGGAGTCACCAACATGGATGTAAAGAATGGCACTGAAGAGCAAAGAGCAGGTAACAATGTGTACAACAAAAAGTCCAGACCAAAACAAATATAAAACTAACAAAACAAATACAAATGCAGCACTGAGGTCTCCGGTGGACTGAAACCATGTGCTCTTCAGCTGTTAATGTGGGGGGGGAAAAAAAACCATTTAATACTACTGCTCATTTACGCCTTGAGCCCAGAAAAAGACCTCATTATCTTATCAGCTTTAGGAATACACAGAAGGGCAAAGTTACGATTCCCCCCTTTTCTTGACAACAGAATCTGATCTTGCCTGCAGTGTACAATTAGTGAACAGAGTGACCTGTGGAGGCCTACTTGAAACAGGCTGTGCGGTACGCGCTAATGACCAAAATGCTCTGCAAGGGGCTGGCATCGTGCCCCTCCATCAGCTCTGGCCATCTTAAAAAGATACCGCTGTTGAGAGAAACGAGACGAGACTCCTTTTCTTTGCTATTATAAAGCACTCACATCATTGCTGTGCTTGGGGCTCGTAGGGCACTGGCAGCTCAAGGTGCTGCTTAAAGAAGGGAGAGCTGGTGTGTAACTAGACCTGATCAGTATCAGCTGTGGTCCTGGCTGCTTGGATGCTGAGAGCAGTTCTGGGCGAGTGTGATTGCTCTGAATCGTCATGTTAGAGTCAGCTGGTGGTCTGTATTTTGATCACCTCTTTAGTTTTAAGCTAGCCCTCTCCTGCTGGCCTTTGCTCTCAGCTGGAAAATCCTTTGCTGCAGATGAGACGTAACACGGGGAAGACTTGACACCCCACGATTCTTCTCTGCCTCTCACTCACACAGGCCAATTTATAAGGTACACCTTAAACTCCAATGCAATCACACAACAGCTTTTGCATTAATTTTACTAATTTTACTACAGTGAGGTGAACCTTCAGCTACCTAGACAGGATTTGCTCAAAAAGAACATCTAAAACAGCATTAGCCAAGGCGAATATGGTTACCACATGAAAGGTTTATTCATTTTAAGCTCCAGCGTACGAATAGAATAGAATAGAATAGAATAGAATAGAATATTGTCATTGCACAAGTACAACAAAAATATGGGTGCTCCATGCCAACTGTGCAGGAATAAATTATAAATAATAAAACTGCAGGAATAGATAACAAACAGGAAAAATAGAAATAGAGGAATATATACAAAACTAGAGAAAGGCAGGGTATCCAAAAGTTGTTCTAGATTTCTCAAAATTAAGCCTGTCTTGAAATTATAAAAGCCATTCTCAAAGCAGAGAATGACTAAGATAAGCAGACTCAAAATTTGGTTTGTCTCTTCCTAAATTGGATCATTTGATAAAAATTAAATAAATAAAAACAAACAAAAAAAACCATTAAAAAAAACCTGGAACAAAAGGAAAAATCTACATTTTCAGAGATACATTTTTGTGGCTCTGCTTTGTACCTTTGCTTGCAGCTGAACCATACCAACCTCTGGATGGCACTCTGCAGCTCTATGACACACTCCCGGAGACTTCTTACATTCCTCTACCAGCTACAGAAAGAGATAATGGATGGCTGTCAGTTACGCACCTCTGTCCTCATCTCCCCTAATCAGCTCTCTCATCTCATGGAGCCAGAATCCCGGAGTTTCACAAAGGACTAAGTTTTACAGTCACGTTCCATCTTAACTCTGTGGCGAACATTTTAAGCGCATAGGTGGGCAGATGAAAGATACCCCTTATATGCATGAAAGAGATCAAATTGGGATTAAGGAGATTAATTTCTGATGGTAATTGAGAGAAAAACTTTTTCATCAGATTTATCCAACTTTCCAAAAGATGTCAAATGTGGTGTGATTTAATTTGCTAACAGATGAATGGTTGGTAAATTGCTGTGCTTCAGGCTTGTGTCCCTTTGGTTGGTGTTAAATCATATATCGTCAAATTTCATGACTTCAGAAAATCTGACTCATTTCTCTTGGCTTCCTCTGGGGTTAAAAAATAATTACTAGTTTTGAAACACAAATTCAGACTGAAACTAATTCAATTTGGGAGCATGGCTGGAGGGTGACTGTGAGTGGTGTATAAATGGTTCTAGCTAGGCTTCAATCAGAAGACGAGCATGGGGAAACAATCCCCCTTCAGAGATCACAAAACGACCTTGGAAATCAAACAGTGCAGACACTCGGATGTGACGGTATGGCTCGCCATATGGTGAACGTCATAAATGGATAAACACATAAATACAGACAACATTGTTTTCTTGTCACAAAAGTGGTCAGGACTAATGTCTCTTTATGTTTGCAAGCAATTAGATTCACAGATGGCGTTGGAGTTGGGGCGTTGTCTGAAGCTGCGATTTGCTGCCAATATTGCAACAAGATCAGCTAAGTCATGTTACTGCAAAGTGGAAGTGAAGTAGCAGTCCACATAAAGTTACAGAGCAGGCTGACAAGCGCTGAGGCGTATAGTGTGTAAAAGTCAACAATGCTCTGTTGACTCAATATAACTACAGAGTTCTGAACCTTCTCTGGCATCAACATCAGCGCAAAAACTATAAGCCAGGAGCTTCACGGCAGACTTTTCCATGGCTGAGGAGCTCCTCTATGTGTAATAAGTAGATCCAGTTCTTTGTCCATATAGTGCTTATCCTGTACCATTGAAGCCTCATATTGTTCCAGTAAACAGACACTACATGCAAATCAAACAGTTCAATTCCAAATCATTTCATTTTTAACTTAAAATAAAAGAACAGGCCATGAACCTGCTTTTTAATTAGATGTCAAGTTTTGTTTTGTTTTTTTTTTAAATAAAAATGTTTAACTCTTAAACAGCTAATGAAATATTTCTGGTAAACCCCTTTAATTAATGTCTGCATTTCAATTATGTCTTGGTTGTTTGATTTAAAAATACTTCGGTACTCTTAAGTCCTAGTAGATGTACCAATGGCAGGAATTTTAAAATTCTGTGTCGCTTCATTCTGAAGTCATTACATTCACAAGACTTTCAGAAAACTTGAGCTATGATGTTAAGGTTGAGGTCACTGAGATTCACACTCCTCTGAGACTTAGTAGATGGACCTATTGTCCTAGATGACTTGCTTCTCAGGTTATCACAAACTTGGGTGTCTATGCTGCCTCCCTGCTCACTGGAAGCGATTTGCTTCCCACATGTCGCACCAAAGCTGACGGCTGGATAACATTGGAGGGGCTCCAAATGCCTAGTTAACGTGTTATTACCAGGTCATACGTTAATCGATGGTATCCTGCACGGTCATTGTTTTTTCGCCTGGAAGTTGAGAAAAGTTTATTTCGGTTCCTGCTCACTTTATATTGCTAACAGTTATTTTGCCTGCAGCCACGTGAAGTCACCAATGTCATTAACTTTCTTCTGTGGCTACTCACCTCGTCGTTGTAACTTGGTTCCAGTTTGGATGCAGCTTTAGCAAACAAAAACTTGATAAGTCCAGTAAGAAAGCACATAAAGTCACTGTCCTCTTCATTTGTCCCTCTGTCCCATTTTAGTGATTATTCTGACCCGTTATTCCTGTTGCCTGGCTTGTTTTCAGTACATAAGTACATCCTTTAAATTTAGAAACAGCATTTGGATTAAAATGATTTAAAGTAATTGTGTACTGTATGTGGAAATATCACGAGGAACTGGAAAAAACTGGGGGAAAAATTGCACACATTACTGAAAGGAAACCCAAAGCTAAACACTGCAAAGTAGGAGTGATTCAAATCCTCGGTTCAAAAGCCAATATTGCCACAATTAATGGAGCAGAAGAGGAAAAAGATTTAAATCCTGATAAGATTCAAGCAGATAAAACATGCACAGCCAAACCAACTGTGTGTTTACAGAGCAGTACACTGAGACACTTGCTTCAATCAATATATTGATGCTTTGTAATAGGCTCTAAATGACTCAGGCTCAAGACTGCTGGGCAACAAACCTCACAGCTTCTGCACTTGATTTCAGCACAGACATAAAAGACTACCTGAAATTGCTTTGAAATACTAAACATTGTCAAACAGCAAATTACAAAAAAAAAAGTTTGTTGACTCAAATTACAAAAATGCCAGTGGCAGAGTGGAAGTGTCAAAGACTGTCCCATAACACACTGCAAGTTGATTTGATTCTCATGAGTGCCATACTGAACTGTGATTGGTTCTCTGTCAAACTGATGATACATTGATCCTTAACTGTCATGCACATAGGATGAGATTATTTGCTCAATCATTCAAAGTGTGTCTGACAAAGGTTCTCCATGATAGACCAGCAACATGTCCAGCCTGTATCCCACCTGTTGCCCTATGACAGTGGGTACAGGCTCCAGTGATTAAGAAAATCGATGGATGAGAGGTTAACATTAAACATGTGCTATTTCCCTGCCTGAAGACAAACTTCAGTGTGTTCTAGTTGCTTAGGTATATTGTCTTTCACTGAAGTTTCTTTGTGGTTGGTCCCTAAAAAGGATACGACAAGATGCTTCTAATGTGAGCTTAATAAACATTGATTGCAGTGATCCCAGACTGTAAACACAAAACAGTATATGAAAGCAGCTGCACAGTTTATTTTGTTATACCAAAAGGAAGGTAGACAAACATTAGGACGTCTCCATTTTTATACACGGGAGATCAATATTTTCACTGGATAAGTACAAATGATCCCTCGGAATTAAATAAAACGTCATTTCATAAGAACTGGAAATGCAAGCTGGAACCTGCACATTCTGTGAGCTTTACTGGAAATTAATATGATGGAGCAAAAATATTTTAAGCAGGAATGGGACCATAACTCTTAGGGTTAGGGCAACAGCCATGTACACAAAAAAACCTAAAGACAATAATTTATTTTTAACAGTAAGCCCAACTTTACTCAATACTGACAAATCAAGATCTTAAAATTAATTTCGTTCACGCATCTCTTAATTGATTTCTTCTCTATTGAGCCCAACCACAGGAATTAAGTGCTGTAAGTATGTCGTGCATGGAACTAAATCAATACAGAGCAGTGTGTGTGTGTGTGTGTGTGTGTGTGTGTGTGTGAGAGAGAGAGTGTGTGTGAGTGAAACAGACAATGTTTTAACATTTATTGAGTCTTTTTTAAATAACTCTGCCCATTATGATATTGTGTACCAGATGCGTGCTATTTTTTTGATGATCATGTGTCACCGGAGGCTGAATTAAAAAAGTATGTGCAAGTGCTCTGACCAGGATCTCTTCACCAGGTGAAGAACTGAATTAAATATAAGAGAGTATGCAAACTCAGTGGCCTCTCTCCCTCCAACACGAGGACCACAGAGACAATTTAGAGCCCTTAAAAACCCACAGAGACTAATTTTGAGGAAAAAGGCTAGTGAGCCGTCTGCAAAGCCCATTTCTGTTTTCAGCTTTACTTCTAGATTTCCTATGAGATATCATTTAGCTATGGAGGAGTTTAGAAAGCACTTCTATCACAATATGCTGTGTCACTGACCGTGTATGCAAGTGTCAGGAGCTACTGGTGGTGAAGGATACTCTGGGAAAAGCCTGGAGCTTTTCCAATGCTCACCTCCCTGTCTTCCATTGACAAGCGAGGTGAAGTAACAGCTAATCGATGGCTAGTGAATTCCCTGTGCACCCCCCTCGCTGAGCTGATCAATATTACTGGCAATTAGAATCCCCTATCTGCATGGCTGTAGGGACCTTGGGGTGGCTCACCAGCCCACAAACACCCAATTTAGTCCTCAGCCTATCACTTAATTACTAAATCCTTCTTAATGCCTATTGGCAGGTGGCGAGCATACTCACAGCAGCCCCGGTCGGTTGATTGAACACGAGACCTTTGGCAAGGTGCTGGTTAAGATGCTCGCGTCCCCCTTCAGCTGGACAGTTAAACATCTGATTTCACACGGGGCTTCCGACCCTAAATGATCCGCCTATTGAGTGACTGGCCCACACACGTACATGGATGGTTTGGAATGGGATGAATGGTCGGGGGGGGGGGAGAGAATGGGGAATATTATGAGTCACAGTGGTAGCACAACAGTCTGCCACAGATCCGTGAGATCCACAGCCGAAACCTCAAGTAGTTTACAGTAAGATCATTTCCTCCTGTTTTTCTTACTAAGTAGGAATAACATAAGATATAAATGAAATGTAATCTCAAGATAATACTGCATGAAATACAGCATACCTGCAGCTTTGCAGTTAATGCCCTGGAGCTACTCAGTTGTCATAACTTCTGCCAGCTCCTCCTGTGGCTGCTGATGCTGACAACAAAGACCTCTCCACCTGTCATGCAAATCCCTGTTTAGATGTACATCTACAAAAGAAATGTATACAAAAATGAATGTATAGAACCTTTCACTCAAACACATATCCAAGATAACCTTTTCTTGGATAACACTTAAAATGGTGGTTCCCAAAGTCTTTACAAAAAAATCACTGACCTGTTTTAAACAGACCCCCAACCTGGTGCATTTACCTTTTGAAATAATTCAGTATATCTGTTTGACCACAGCTTCAGTGTCTTTATTTGCATGTATATTTCTTTTTCCATGTGCACCATTGCATTGGGAGGATAGGCATATTTTGTATATACGACGAATGCGTTACCTAAAAAAGGCCCCAACTGAAACTCATGGGACATTTCCATGCCAGTGATCAGCTGGGGCAACTGCCATCACTCAGGTGAATGTTTCTCACAAAATATTAAAACCAGGGTTGGAGACAAGCTGAGTGGACACAAAACTTATCACTGTCATTCGCTTCCCTTATCCCCAAGTCCCCAGCTTCTAACATGATCAATCATCCTCTCTGTTTCAATGTCTTTGTCATTACTTTATTTGGGAATTTAATAGCTTATTTTAAAGAAAAACCTCTCCACTAAGACAGGATAGTAAGTTATTGATATAAATAAGTTACAGAAGATTCTAGAACAACATGAAATGTGCTGTGTCACAACTGACCTAAAGACATATGCATACTGCCTTGGACCACTGCAGATTTGACACACAAACTACTGGGAACTATATGACAACATTTTCTCAAACAGTTAGAGAAATGAGCTGCACTGCCTTTCCTGACCTGGGTCTTTGCAGGGGTCTTGTCTGAGCTTCTGTGTAAACCTCAGTGGGTTGACAGTAGAATATGTTGTGCCACTGTGTGTTGCATCAATGGAGTACTCCCAATCAGGCTGTATGCCTCTTTGCTTTTGCTACTGTGCATGCACAGCTCTTTTCTATAGAAACGCTACTGTCTTCAACAGATCCATGAGCTCCCTCATTCCATCCACTGCACTCCTGCGGAGGAAGTGAGAGGACATAATGAGTATAGTGTGTCAGAGTGTATGTGTGTGAGTTAATTGCTCAATTCATTTGGAGGTAAGGCGCCCAGTTGGTACCTGCCTCACTGGTTAGGCTGTTGCTCCTTGTGCTAACCCTCTCATCTAGAACTGTTACCTCCATTTGACTGCACTGCCCCTTAACAGGACCTCTGCCTGCAGCCGATCCCCCTTCTCTTTAACGTGCCTGAGCAAATGTAACCTCTTACAATTTTACAATTTTTGAGGATAGAAAGTAGTTCGATAAGAAGCTCTTTTTTTTTTTGGGCAAATGTCAGTCTACCTGCCAGACAGCTGTCTTTACCTGAATCTGGACACTTCCACTCAGGTGGCCCTGCGTTTGCACGATGCGTACTCCACTGCTGGATGCCTCGAGCACACCTCTGGGGGAGAGCCTGCGTACACATGCACGCACACACACACACAAACACAAGGAGCTGTCACTTTCCTGTCACATAACCATGGAAATGGCCTGAGGTGAAGTGAGGACAGGTGCCCTGAGCTTTACAAATTCTCTTGAAGGACAGAGCAGAGGAGCGCCTTCCTTCTTCCACCCCCAAGCTATCTCCACACCTGCTGAACTGCACTCACTCAGTTACCTGCCCCTAATTTGGTATTTCCACAAAGATGACATATGTATCAGGCAGAGCAGGAAATGTCCTGGGCAGGGAGAGAACAGCTTTCTGACAGGTGTCACCTCCAATCTGCACAGGCCTGCTTCTGATGTGTTAACTATTCAATTAACCATCACATCACACTGAGTGGGTGCCAGCACCTAATTACCTATGAGACCTTGCCTGTGAATGGGCTGAAATACATGTGTGCTTGTGTGTGTATGACAGGTCACATATCATGTTACTGTTAACCACCTCATGGTTCACATAGAATATATGTAGATTTTTTTTACGTGTGTGTGTGTGTGTGTGTGTGTGTGTATACTCCTTTCCATCCTTGGTTGCTTCCCAGGCTCATCATCGTTACACCTCTTAGCACCAACTAAATACTGCAAGAAAAGAGCCTTTTTGCTCAGAGTAAAATATGAGCGCAAACATTAAATAAAAATAAAAACAGTATCATTTAGCCCGTGTATTAAAATTACTCCTGTCGTGTGGCCCCTTCATCTCACACCATTAAAATAACGAGGTGTCACCGAGCTCTGCTTCCACAGCTCCGATGTTGACACCCATCAAGACAAATCTATATTTCATGGCCACTTACAGATGTATAAATAGCCAAATGAGGTGTGCTAACCATCTATAAAATGGCACTAAAAGGTTGCCAGAGGATGGCGAGTGTCATGAGGCAGTTGCGCTGGTAATCAATCTGAGGTGAGAGGAGAGGAAAGGGAAGAAGAGGAGAGGAATGGGCTGCACTGCATGGCTATGAGCAGAGGTGCAAGGCGGCGCAACAAGCAGGGCAGTAAATCACATCTGCACGGTACGCTCGCCCCACTGACACACAGCCACTTCAACTGACACGGGGCTTGCTCGACAGCCTGATGGATCACCACACTACACTCCATTAAAGGCAAACGGGCACGACGAGCACTGACACAACAAACAATTAGTCACTGCTGTGGGCATGGTCTTAAAATGCTGAGGGCCTTTCCCAGTGATGGGCACAAACCACCCTTATTTGGGATGGAAGAGCATTAAGTCCTTGTTATTGTAATACTAATAAAATAAAAGTGTTGGATAACGGTATAAAAATGATAAAAATTATCCAGTCATTCAAATGCTTTTCAGTAGAAACAAAGAAATGGACTGTTAAAAAGAACTCTGAATATATGAATACTACAAAAGGAAACCAGACACAATATAGATATTACATCTATGGTACAGAGGATATGTTAAAGGAGGTACAGTGACAATAACTGCAATAATACAAACTTTGTGAGATTGGTAAACATAGTCACTGGCCCCTTCATTAGTTACACCTTGCTGGTAGCAGGCTGGACCCACTTTTGCTTTCAGATATGCCCTAATCCTCACGGCACAGATTCAACTAGGTACTGGAAACATTGCTCAGCCTTTAGTGCATCCATGATGCAAATTTCCCATTGGACACTGAAGGTGGTATATTGCACTGAGGTCTGATGACTATGAAGGGCAATGTAGCACAGTGAACGCATTGTTATATTCATGAAATCAGTTTGAGATGATTCGAGCTTTATGACATGGCACATTATCCTGCTGGAAGCAGCCATTAGAAGATGAGTAGATGATAATAAAAGGACAGACACGGTCAGCAGCAATACTCAGATAGGCTGTGGGGTTTAAACTATACTCAGTTGGTACTAAAGGACTTAAAGTCTTGCCAAGCAAATATCTCCCACAACATTACATGACCACAAACAACTTGAACTGTTGATACAAGGCAGGATGGATCCATGCTTTCATGTTTGCACCAGTGTCTCACCCAGCACCTGAATCTCCCAGCAGAGAATGAAACTTATCAACCCAATCTTCTAACCAACTTTGGTTAGCCCATTCAAATTGTAGCCACAGTTTCTTGTTTGTAGTTAACAAGAGTGTCACCCAGTGTGGTCTTCCGCTGCTGTAGCCCATCTACAATATTTAAAGGTTTGACATTCATAGATGCTCTTCTGCATTCCTTAGTTGTGACAAGTGGTTATTTGAGTTACTACTACAGCTCAAAGCAGCCTGGCCATTCTCCTCCTATCTCTGACATCAACAAGGCATTTTCCCCCAGAGAAGTGCTGCTCACTCGCTATTTTCTCTTTTCACACCATTAAACTCAAGAGATGGTCGTGTGGGAAAATCCCAGCAGATGAGTACTTTCTGTAATACCCAGCCCGTCTGGCTTCAACAACCACACCAAATGTTTAAAATCACTTAAATCATCTTTCTTTCCCATTCTGATGCTCAGTGTTGACCATGTCTATATGCCTAAATGCACAGAGTTGCAGCCATATGATAAGTATCTGCGTTAATAAGCAATTGAAACAGGTACATCTAGGTATATCCAGCACTCCTTGTGATGATAACAAAATATAAAAGAAGATTTTAACAACTGTTTAACTGTGTTGGGTGTAATTCATATGAAAACAAAGGAACAATGTTTCAGTATTCTTAATAAGGTCTTGCATTTGACGGAGATATCTGGATACTCTTCTTACAAGAAGAGTCTGTTTATTAGGCTTGTGGGTTAGAAGAAAATGACTGTGAATGTAAGTATGTGAGAAGCTGCAGTTCCACACTTCAATCACAGATGGATGTGAGCTCCAGATTAGACCTATAGCCACCTCGACCTTCTCTCCTACTGGTCTCTACTGGGTGCCAACACCCATTATTTATCAATCATCTTTCTCCCTCAGCATGACATTCCACTTTAGACCATCCGTGCTCTGAGATGATGCCTCCTCGTTGTCTCGCTACAGGCTTGTGTATGTGCAGATACTCCTACAGTAGATAAAGCCAGTGATGCATACAAATGTATGCACAGAAAACCTGCAGTTGCATATTCAGTCTCCATCTCTCATATATTTTCAGCGCATGCAGTTTAAGTTGTCACCTATAAAAACATTGTTTTAAACTTTTTGTAGCCCAAAGCCTTTCTGTAATACATCTCCATACATGCATCTTCCATACTCTGAAGATACCCTCTGTTACATGAAGATATAAAAGACCACAGAAGACAACTAAAGCGGCTGATCACAGAATTATTTCCATGGTTAAGAAAACTGCTTAGCAACCTTTAGCAACAATAAAAAATGACTGAAATGAGAGGAACTGACCGAGAACTTCATCCTTTCGGATAAAACAGACAGACAAAACTCACCTTTGGGGATATGCTTTGCAGCTGATGACATCAGAATATATCTCAATATGTTATTGCAATACTCAGCATATAACTAAATGCTTAAAATTACAATAACACTGTACTGTAAGTTATATTTTGTGATGATGTCATATCAATATGAAAAGAATGGACGAGGGGAAAAACTGCCCCTGATCCAAAGCTTACCACATCTGTCAAACCTGCTGGAGGTCATGTCATAGCCATTTATGATTGGGTCAATGGAGTTTATTGATGATGTATGTGCTGAAACAAGTAGCAAGTGAATTCTGAAGTCAGTATGCTACAGACCTACAAAAATGAGAAGCAACTGAAGTTAGCTGCAACAAAGTTGGCTGCGTGGCAGGGGATTTTAAGGGACACTTGGTGATGTCCATGGCTTACAGACTTTGAGAAGTCACTGACTTCAAATGATTTGTATCTAAGAAAGAATCTTTTAATTAAACTGATATTCTTTTGTCCAATTACTTTTGCGCTCCTGAAAATGGATTAATACATTTACAAATGTCTGTAATTCCCAAAATGTTTATGCAATGCTTTTGTTGCTTTTGTTGTATCCTTTGAAATAAAGCTGAAAGTCTGTACTTCAATCACATCTTGATTATTTGATTTAAAATCCACTGCAGAGGCAAAATTACAAATATTTTCTAATTGTCCAGGTGGTTACAGATCTAACTGCATCATCTCCAGAAAGGTGCCAAATGCCACCTCAAACATCTGCCTTTACACACAGATTCTGTTCATTATACGGTTGCTTGCAAACACACCGTTCCTTCCCATCAGCCCAATTAATGAGCAGTAACCTTTTTATCAAAATTACAAGCATTCATGAAATGACCAGATCACGTCTAAACACTAATTTTTAACACCTGGAATTCCACCTTTTGTTTTTAGACAGGAATTCAACTGGTAACTTACTGGGAATGGTAGTATTTTTAACTCCTTATTTTTATTGTTCAATGTGCCATTTATGAAAGCGGAAAGCTAATCTCATACCTGGAGGCACATTGCAGATGCACTCTGGGTATTATGGTGTATCACTGGGTCCTTGAGAACAAAAGGATACTTTCACACATGCAAGACTGGCACTTGTAGAGCTTTTGGAGCTCCAGGGAACTGTTTAGCATCCGTGTCTCATGTCTTTCTCTAGAGCCCGCATATGGCTTTTCTATCTGAGAGAGAGAGGGGCACAGAGGTCAACTTTAACTGGCTTACAGGCTGCTGAAAAAAGACAAGTCTATCCTTAGGTTTGTCAGGGCCACATATTACTCTGTGCCGAACAGAAACTTTAATGCTTGCAGTCTGTTTATCTGCCTGTAACAGTCACCTAGCTATCGGTTAGTCTTTGCAGTCCCATTCACAGAGAGATCGCTACTATAACGCACCCCACCATTAAGACGACTTTGCTTGTTCACATTGTCACTCCAGTGTGTGGTTTCAGGTGGCGCACTGACATGCCAGAATCGAGACGTAACACAGCATCTATCTCTAGGTTGGCTCTGCTAGTACCTAAGTGAAACAACATTTTTGCTCCATTCTAGCTCTTCACCTTTCACACAGACCAGCAGATGTAGGT